ATCACATTTACAGACCAAGCCTGCTGCTATGTAATCAGTTATGACAAAACCAAATTCTTGTTTAGGTGTCTGATGATGTTTTAGTGCGATGGATGAGATGAGGCAGATATATGACATGCTGCATGAGCCATCTGGGAGCCCAGCGTATGGCTGAACACCACGACGGAAGAAGAAAAGAGACAAATACAAAAGAGTGGCTGCTTTTCAAGCGTACAGGAACATTCATCTAGAATATTAATCCTGCCAACACCACAAAGGTTATTACTAAGTATCGCTGACTGATGTGGCACCCATATATTGACCAATGATGCATGATGTGCTGCTATTATGAAGGTGAAATGTTGTTGAAACTATAGCACCAACGAGGATTTTCATCTGTTGTCCATCATTTACATAAGACTGCACATGTCAAAGATAAAAGAAGGACACTCATTTAGCCAACCATAATTCAGCTCTTCCTGAAGAGACACGACTAAACTGCAGTAGGTGGATTATGATAGATCTCTTAATTAAATGATTCCCTTCGGGAAACACCTGACATCTTAGCACCCTCAAAGTCATCAGGCAACCCTAATGAACAATATGAGGGCATGCGCTTGAGGTTTCATTTTCACAATGTCACCCCACACAATACATTACCTACATGCCAGACAGGTGTTTGTCAGCCTCATCTTTCTTGTCATTTACCCCGTGACCAGAGTGCTCGGAAGATAATTTTCTTGTTTTCACAGAGGATCCAAACTGCCTGCCAGTTCTGCACATCAGAATGACAGAGCCAAGGTAAACTGCTGTTGCCATGGTTACCAGCCAGGCTCAGCGTCCACGGATGCTCATTGCGATTTTAAGCTGCAAAAAGAACTCTGATAGAGGGCATGAGTCCATATATCCACCCACATAGAGACACATACGCACATTCACACGTTATACATACACACACAGAGCTCATAGTACATATGGGCTCTGAAGCACAGCTGCACATAAACACAGACACCCACACATACTCACTCACAGGCCCACAATGCATATGCACTATGCACAACAGCACTGTGCAATTACTCCTGCAATTTCATCATTCAAAAATGTCCCTGTGTGCCATTTTTGTATATTAAAATGCTAATACACGAGTAAAAATATATATATGGTAAATATTGATGCTTATTGGTTATTGTATTTTAATTAAAATTATTAAACAGTTTACTATCAACAGTGTGGAAAACATGCACTGCTTATTTTTAACTAGATCTTACTGTGTTTTACTTTTTGCTTTTAAAATTTTGAATCTAATTGGCTACAATGACTACTTGGTTCAAAATGATAGTTCAACTCAAACAAGCAAATGAAAAAGAGAGAAAGCAAGGGAGAGAGAGAGAGGCTGATGAAACCATTGCTCATTTGCAGAAACTGATGATATTCTCATGGGATGTGTGCAGCTCTAGTGTAACGAAGGCTTTGCCTCCTGATAAATATCCTCCATATATGAAAGAAGCCAATTGAAACTGTCACTTTCACCTGTGTTTGAAACAGAGGCATCATCTTGGCTATGAACTGTTTGAACATTATAAAAAAATATATGCAGAAATATCTGTAGCTAATTAACAGGGATGTAAAGGGATAAGGGATGTATCAATTCCGGTTGTAAATGTAATTATTTAATGAAATATGCATTAAGCAAAAAAATAAAAAATAAAATAATATATATATATATATATATATATATATAAAATTAGCAGGACCAAAAAGTCATGTAAATCGTTTGCATATAATAATTAATTAATAACTTCACCCATGTTAAATTCAAGTTAAATTCATAGCGTCTAACCTGATTAAGGTGTGAAAAGAGAAAAGAAAAGAAAAGAAAAGGATTATGAGATTAAAAGCTGTAAAGACATGAAATAAGTGTGCAGTGGATGCAGGGAGAGTCTTGGCCCATGAAATATTGTGAGTTGATTTACGGGTGTGATGAAGCACTCCAGCTGGACCTTATTTGGTGGTATAAAACTTACGATACAGTCACAGCCCTGACACAACACTCCCACTCACACTATTACAACATGTTCCTGCTCAACAGACCTTCAGTGGAAGAGTGTTCTCTTAAAGGAAGGGCCAGGAGAAGGCCACAGGAGGAGCACAAACCGCACACCTTCACATGCACATCATTCTAAACACTTCATAAGTCACAATTCAGACTGAATAAACTTTCAATGCACTCTGTCACTTAGTCTCTTCCCAAACTCACATTATGGAACAACTAGCTGGGATGTGGAAGCATGCAAACAAGTGCAGCTCCATCTGTAAATAAGGACGTTAAGGCACAGTGAGCTCAGTTTCAAGGTAATGCTGGTTGTACGACTGACAGGTACACATTGTATGCATTGCTACAGTGTCTCTGAGCATCAGTCTATAGGTGAATTCCAGCCAGACTATCACTTTCCATCATTCACCGCAAGGAAATTTGATCCACTGACACATCCAATCCATTAAGTTGTTTGGACTAAACTCAATAGCTTAGATGGAGCCATGGGAATAACATTCATTCATATCTGTGGGGTCCAAATAAAAGATCCACTTAATTTGTATTTCACTTTGCTTTGAACAAATACACCACAGTATTTGGCTCTACCTGCTGGAATACAACTGAACTGAAGATTACAACTAGCCAGTAAAGCAATGAACACTATCTCTGTCCAGATTACTGAAATAATCACCAATCACCAATAAGTTCCAACACCAATGTGACCAATGTCACTCATGCTGGCAATTCGGTCGGTGCCTAAAAAGTATCGAACTCGATACCCAGCCCTAGCTGCAGCTATATTGACTACATTGTTGAGAATTTAGAGCTGTTCACACTGACAGCGATTTGCAATGACAAAGCAACTTGATTCAATGGGAGTTAAGTAAAAATTTATAATAATATGAAAAAACATATGGTAGTGAACAAAGTCATTTGTTGACTAGATGCTGCAAATCTGACCCAAGTGTTTAATGTCACGACTGTTTAATGTCTTACCTGTGAACACTCCATGAAAACCCTATATAGGAGGTTCTCTGAGTTTAGCTGCATATTTTACATGGAAAAATTAATAAATAAAAATCTCTAGCCACATCAGGCTTTTATTGACCAGCCACTGTGGTTAATGAAGTTAATTTCATAGTCTGCTGATACAGTTAGACACTAGTCGAGTAGGAAAGCCGCAGCACTGCGACCTTCCGTCAGTGATTTAATTGCTGTCAGTGTGAACGGCCCATTACAGATCAGCCATGCACTAAAAGAGAAACACTAGACTAGACTGGTCTACTAAGAGCCCTGCTTCCCAATCTGGTCATGTACAGTGGCCACCCCACATGAAAGATGAGATGTAGAACTGGAAGAAAAATATTCAAGTCACAATAAATGAAGGACATGCTACTGGTGCATGAGGTTAAAGCTTTCAGAAATGCAGACACACCAGAGTATAAAACCACAAAGCAAAACTGATTTCATCCATAATTTGCTGAAGGACATAAATTTAGGACTGCTCGCATTTGAATAATGTTCCCAAAATAAAATGATCTTCATTATGTGGTAAATTGACTCAATTGTTCATAGCTAATTGACCTGTCCGTGTCTAGCACTGTGCGAGCACTAACAACTGCGATGACGAGTGCCACCCACACAAGTCCCCATTCAGTATTACTGCACTCCCAAAAGCCCTTTATTGCATGAGGCATGCTAATAAGACCACATTTAACAAAACACCCGTACATCATCTGGGTATAATCTTGACCTCTAGAGTCAGATGTATGACTTAGTCTGACAGACACATATAAAAACATGTCATCAGCAGTAGGGGTGGACGATATGACCAAAATCTTATTTCACGGTATGAGAAATTTTATTTCACAATAACAATCGATATCTCGATATAGCTATTTTTGTTTTATTTTATTTTTATAAAAAAAAAGAAAAAGAAGCAAATTACAAACACAATAGAACAAATAAATATAAAATAAAATTTTAATTTATTCAGCTACAGTAGGCTTCAGTAGGCTTATTTAACATGTAGTAAGAAATATTACAGAAATTGAATAAAGTGTATTAATGAAACACTGAATAGTCTTCACTGTATCAAACATGAACTGATTCTTATTAAATATCCAAAAGTGATTCAGTCAAGTGCAGTGAGTGATTAACATTAATAATGACAGACAGCAGCAGGTAAATAAGGGTGCCGTCCCTTTAAGACCAACTGCACGGATACAATATACTGAAACACATCGTGATTTCACCGGTTATAACTGTTTCTTTTTATTTTGAACAACGGCTCTGTGTAGTTAATGCTGCTCAATGTGAAAGCACGCACGTGATGGAGATTTACCGCTGATTACAGAATGGCTTTACTGACAAGATGCACGTTAAATATCGCATGCGATTTATCGTGCAGCCCTATTTAACACATAACTGACTATGTTTACTCCACACAACGGCATTCTGACATAATTGTGTGCGTATTTGACCATTCAAGCATGAAAGAGATCTGTTTTCTGATCATGCACGTCCCAAATTCGTGATCGCATGCGGTCTGAGAGAAGCGCTTTCTGAGTGTGTGCTTTGTGTGTGTCAGTCAGCACGAGCACCACATTGAGTTCTTTTTCACTGCTTGTTGCACTTATTAACTCTACCAAGTGTGCCCCACTCTTTATTTTCTCATCCATGCATGTTTCCGTATCACTCAAAGGTGTATACGACTTTTAAGTACTATTATGTTACGCAGATATATTTGCATACCGCGGAATACACGATATAGCAAAATCTCTGTCGATATATACCGTCATACCGCCCAGTCCTAATCAGCAGTGTGCTAACTGTGTCACAGCATGTGACAAATGTTTTATGAGATGTCAGTTCCAAGTAATCAGTGAGAAAACATAATTTTTAGTCAAAATGAATATATGAGGATCACATGCTCTGGAGGGATGTTTGCGATGTTGCGGTGGGTGTATGTGTGTAGCCATCTCACCAGAACTCTGCCGGTAAGGGTCTGTGCTGAGATCATGACCCCCGCCCAGTCTTTGACTGAGGTCATCCAGCCCACCTCGCTGGCTGGGGCCTCCTCTTTATCGTTCTTCGTTGGGCCATCAGCCTGACTGTTCATAGGGTTATTCACCTTCTGTGCCTCCCGGGAAAAATAAAAGCACACATAGAGCAAAGTAAGCAACGGGATAGTTTTTGGATACTCACAAACATGCTGTTAGAAACAGTCAATCAATCATACAAACTATGGCTGATATATTGAATATTTGCATAGCATTTGTAAGAATTTTGCTAGTAATATAAAATTTTGCAACATTATAAATCTTTTGATGGCTTAGATGAGCTTTTTATTCCAATGAACTCAAAATCATTCAAATTCAAAATAATTTGCATAACTAAATAAAGAATAAATAGAAGTCTTACAACGCATTTCATATTTTGACATTTTATTAAACAAAATGCAGGTAACTATTGATGTCTATTATTGTGTTTTTACTTGTCTTGTTATTGGATACTAGTATTTATGTTGGTGCATATAAAAAAAATATTTTAAGGTGACATAGGCCTACTTACAGTGTACATTGTTATTGCTATAGGGTTTAGGTTTTAGGTTTAGGGTTATTTGTAATAAAATATTACAAATATTTTAAATAATAATTATATAATAATAATAATAATAATAATAATAATAATAATAATAATAAAAAAACATTTTTGTTTTAATTTAACAAACATGCTTTATTTTGCTTTATCTAGATTTTGCCAAAATGACGGTACCTTTAACTTAGTGTGAAAAATTCAGATCAAATGCATAAGTATCAAAATAAATATTTGCTACAATTTCAAACAAATATGGAGACTTAATTTTCCAGATGACCCAGCCTTAATAAAAACCCAGGATACTTAATGATTAATTAGGGACACAGCACCACGGTGTGAGGACCCTATTGGAGTTTCTTCTTCTTCTTCTTCATTTTTTGAGGTCCTAAACATGCTCAAAATCTCATGAAACTGCACACACACCAGAAGTGGTGAAAATTTACGTCTGATATAGGTTTCAAAAGTGGGTGTGGCAAAATGGCACCTATACTCGATCAAAGAAGTGCTCCTCGACACATGTAACATCCCAATACCTACAAAAAAGTCTCTTGGAGCAAAATCCGAAACACAACAGGACGTCCGTTATTTCTAATTTAATTCTAATTTCTCGTTTTTGCCATTTTCAGGCATTGTATTTTAATAAACTCCTCCTAAAGATTTAATCAGATCAACGCCAAATTTGGTCAGTGTAATCTAAAGCCCTTTGTGAAGTTAAATTGCGAAGATCTTGAGTTTTTGTTGTAGGGCGTGTCCGTGGCGGCCTGACAAATTTTGATGTTTCGCCTTGAAACAGGAAGTTATTATAACTCAGGCATACAATGTCCGATCTGCCCCAAACTTCACATGTTTGATTAGAGTCCTGTCCTAAAGACATCCCCATGCCCATATTCAGTTATAGTCATAGCGCCACCAGCTGGCAACAGGAACTGACATGTTTTACGCTGTAACAAACTCCTCCTAGAGATTTAACGACATAAACATTATATTTGGTCAGTCTAATCTAAAGCCCTTTGAGATGTTAAAATGCAAAGATCTTGAGTTTTCGCTAAAGGGCGTGTCCGTGGTGGCCTGACAAAGTTCGAAGTTTCGCCATGGAAAAGGAAGTTGTTTTACCTCAGCCATACAATGTCCGATCTGCCCCAAACTTCACACGTTCGATAAGAATCCTGGCCTGAACACATCTAAAGACCAATATCCCATTATAATCATAGTGCCACCTGCTTTAGTTTAACTAAAACATGCAGTGTCCAATCTGCCCCCAAACTTGACATGTTTAGTAAGAGTCCTGGCCTGAAGACATCTACATGCCAAAATTCAGTTATAATCATAGCGCCACCAGCTGGCAGCAGAAAGTTTGGTGAATATAAATGACATACTCCTCTTATATTTACCACTTCAAATGCATGTTGCCCACCATTCACTGTTTTCCAAAAGCCATCGGTTGGAGGTGGCTCTGGGTGTGAGGGCCCTTTCAACAATGCTTGCAGCTTTAATTTAATTTGTTATTTTAAGCTTTAAAAAAAGGTAACAGCAGTGATGAATTCACTGTGGATTTGGTATTTTGGAGTTCAGTGTCAGAAACTGCATTCATAACACACTATTTTTGCCTGTTTCTACAGCTTGACTCATGCTTTGACAGGCTGAGACCTACATCACATTAGACATCAAACTCGCTGTCAGGTTTCTGACAGCTGGAAGAGGCCTGAGAGGAAGCAGCGAGGAGAGGTGTTCTTTGAGGCCCAGCAAAAGAGCATCTCTCAGACTGCCTGACGCACACAGCACGGCTGGCGGTGTGTAGGCCGAGGCAAGGACAGCTATGATTCACAGGCTCAGGGAGTCGCTGTGGGATTCTGGGGTTACATCCGCAGGCCTAGGCAACACTTCAGTCAGGTGGGTGGATGAAAATACAGTCATCATGCGCTCAGTGGTGCAGCCTGATGCTTTAGAAGCTTCGCTGGAGGAATAGCTTATATTTCACCGCGGGGTTGGCAGAGAACTAACAGACTTGGGTTATGATGCATAAATAACAGCAGGTAATACTCTAATTTCTGCACAACACTCTTTTGAACATCTCTGTCTGCTCAGTGGGATCGTGTGCTGGAACAGAATATCAGTCTGATGTTAAAAGCTGTCTGTTGGCAACAAAAACAAGGAATGTTATCCAGTTTATCCCAATGAAAATGGAATAGAGATGATAATATGGCTAGTGATGGACTGATACATAACCAAGGCAAATTAACTGATATCTGACTTTCTCCAGTTAGGAGAAATGTCACCTCTCCACTGTGTGAACTCCAAAATCTACCAACAACCCTGTCAACACATAAGCAATTCTGCTATTAGTGTATAAACTGTTAATTCTTGTAAATCTCAGTCAGTAAATTATTCTGTCATGTACATTAGCATATCAAAATATTAAGCATCACAACTGTTTTCAGTATTGATAATAATAATAAATGTTTTCTGAGCAGCCAATAATCATATTAGAATGATTTTTGAAGGATGTGACACTGAAGACTGGAGTAATGATGCTAAAAATGCTGCTTTGCAGTCACAGGAAAAAGTTACATTTTAAAATATAATTGTAATATTTCACAATATTAGTGTTTTTACAGTATTTTTGATCTAATGGTGAGCAAAGGTGACTCAAACATTTTCAAATCTTACCAACCCCAAACTTTTCAACAGTATTGTCTAGGGCTGCACGATCAATCGAAATGGAATCGAAATCGCGATTCGACAGAAACTGCGATTGTCATGCGTATCTTTCAGTGAAGCACGGTTCTGTGATCAGCAGTAAATCTCCATCCAAAGGCCAGAGGGCGCTCTCGTGCTGAAACTCCAAATACGCCTCGCAGAAGAAACCCAGGAAATGCCTATAGCGGTAGCTGGATAAACAGAAGATTTAACTGCTTTTATTGATTCAGCGTGACTAATAAACACACGGTTATGACAATATATGGTTTATCTGAGTTATTATTATTATAATTTTCATTAAAATAAAGTATATTTATAATGCAATGCCTTTATCACTGCTTAGAATACTATGAAATATGTTGCGTGCCTTATTCTGTGTAAGAAGCCACATCATCTCACAGAAGGATTTATTTCAAACACTCAACTGACATTATGAAGTGAGTTTGGAGTAAAAATCTGTTATTAAATGTGGTATTTTCACATGCTTTCAGATGGAGCAGCATTTACTACACAGAGCCGTAGTTCACTGAGAAGCTATGCAAACAGCTGTCATTATCGCGAACGATTTCTTCAATTTCATAATCGCGCAATAAAATCGTCTGCGATTTTTTTTGCGTAACTTGTCAGTGAACTACGGCTCTGTGTAGTAAATGCTGCTCCATCTGAAAGCACGTGGTGATGATGATTTACTGCTGATTACAGAACCGGCATTACTAACAAAATGTGCATGACAATCGCATTCGTGCAGCCCTAGCATTGTTTATTTTTCTTTATCCATTTGTTGAATACCTTATATTTTTTACACAAAGCAAAAGGTAATAATTTAATTTTAATTTATAATTTATGCATTTAGCAGACGCTTTTATCCAAAGCGACTTACAGTGCATTCAGGCTATACATTTTTTACCAGTATGTGTGTAAAAGGTCTGTGTTAATGTGTTCTCTCTGACTACAGAGCACTTGAACGTGACACATGATTACACCTTAAGAAGTAGGATGTAGGATCATCTGACAAAGTGTCTTTAAAGAGTTTTTAAGAGCTTACAGAAGGCTTAAATGACAGAGATGTCTTAGATTCAGTCCATAACACTGGCCTGGCTGTGGGTGTTAGGTCAGACATAAGGACATGAACACATCCCTAGAGGAAGTGTATCACTGTGGTGCTGCCACAGAGGATGCTAAGCTGTGTTGGAAAGATATATGGTTCAGATGAGAGCAAATTTAATGAGAGTCTCAGGAGGAGAGAAACACTTCTGTCAACAAGTGGGAAGAACAAAACACACATGCATCAGTGATATTAAACTAAACTCCAGGATAAATGAAAATCACTGAGCATTAATCACTGAGCACTCACTTGTTACAGGTGCTGCTAGCAGAAAAGTTTTTAAGATCCAAGAAAAATGGAAGGTCAATTTTGGATCCTAAGTATAGCTAACATACTGAAACCATGAATGGAAAAAGCTACCCAATAAAAGGTGTGAGGTGTGAGTGTCATCCCAGGACAGATACATAGCCTGTCTTCAGGGTGTGGCATCCAGTGAGGCAGTAAAGACCATATATCAGAGACCGGCATGAAGGTTTTTGAAGCGACTGGCACCACAGGAGATCCAGACATGACCATCTGACTCCAGACGGCTCCAGAAGTTGACTACCGGCCCAGGCATACTGAGCAAAGGTTACACAGACTTCAGACAGCTGAAGACATATATATATATATATATATATATATATATAATCACTGTGAATGTGAAAAAGCATGACTGGCACAGTGGTACACTTTGTGTTCCCAAATGCATGTGTGCTGAGAACACTGGATCATTAGCTACTCGCACTAACCCATATCAC